AAAATTATTATTATTATTATTATTATGTTATTTTTTATTATCCGCGAATGTTAGCAACTGGACAAATTGAATGCAGCGGTCAAGGAAAAGCGACCAGAATTGGTCAATCGTAAAGGTGTCATTTTCCAGCAGGACAATGCTAGGCCGCACACGTCTTTGTCCACTCGGCAAAAATTGATGGATATTGGTTGGGAATTGATGTTACACCCACCATATAGCCCTGATCTCGCGCCATCGGATTACCACTTATTTCGATCCCTGGACAACTCCCTTCGTGGTAAAACTTTTAACGATGATGACGCTGTAAAATCTCACTTAACTCAGTTTTTGGCCGAAAAGGATCAGACTTTCTACGAGCGTGGAATTTTCAAGTTGTCAGAGAGACGGCAAAAGGTCATCGAACAAAATGGAAAATACATTACAGATCAAACTTCATTCCAAGTAAAAAAAAACTTTTTATTTCATTGAACAAATCGGCAATTACTTAGTTGCCAACCCAATATATTTCTTGGGTGTTAAAAGGCAGCAAACTAGCTACAGCATTGTGCTTATTTAACTAAGAATTAAGTACGAAAATTCTTGGATGACATATCTTAATTTTAGGAATTTATATTACCGCCACCTTCGAAATTTTCTTTAACCCTAGAAAGATAACCATATGACAACGTACGTAAAAGATAACCATACGCTTCAGAGGCGCATGCTTTTCTAAGGCGTCAATTTTATACTAACAATGGATATTTATTTAAGTTAATCTAGTCATTTTAAAGGTTTGGCATTATTGTAAAAATAAAATGCATTTATATTATATTTTTTTATATTTTAAGTAATTTTAAACTTAAATCACTAGACATCTATGAAAAATTAACAAAAATCAACAGTCTTCGCAGGCGCCTCTGCGACGTAGGTTATCTTTCTCGGGTTAAAATCTAAAATTTCCAAGCCATCATGCCGGCGTCAAACAAAAGAATCACATCTAAGACCTGCGGACGGCACAGTGTTAAAATACATTGCGCGATGATAATGCAACGCATCGCATAATATCCGCAACTTCGTTTTGCCAGCTTGTTTCATTATTTCGCGTTGGTTTATGTCTTTCCGATTTGCTGTCGCGCGATCCATGTCAAAAAGTATTGGATACCGTCGATCATCAACGAAATTTGCAGTTAGAGAACGTGCGGGAATCAGTTCTCCACGCACACGTGTTACATCAATATTCAACTACAGTCGAATATTGACATTAATAATGTTACACGTCCCATAATATCCAGAGAGCCTACAACTTCGTTTTACTAAATTCTTTTAATATTTCGCAACACGTTGCATTTCACGAATTACCTCAACGATAAGATTTTTACGTCGGATAATCAAGCTCCACGCTATGTGGTAGCATGTACAGTGGCTCGCGAGAGTGTTCGAGCACTTTTTAAAACGAAATAACTTTTTGAAGAATGGACCTTGCTTTCCAACGTATCTTTTTAAATTACTCGAATCATATTGACATATTAGAGGAGCTAGACCAAATCAACAAGAAACTAATAAATCCAAAGAGCTTGAATTTTCTCCGATACGGAAAACAAGAGTTGAAAACAACGACGCGTAATCTCCTCGATCATAAAGGAGATACCACAGAACAGATT